TATTTTCTTGTTCATATTTCTGATCTTTTCTACTTAAAGAAAACCTTTAACATTTCTTGTAACACTAGTTTAGTATTTATGAATTACTTAGCTTTTTCTTGTCGGGCAAATGTTTTCTTTCTCTCTCTTTTGATCCTAAATGATAGCCTTGCTGGGTAATCTTGGTTCTAGCTCTTTTTGTCACTTTGAATATTTTGTGCCAATCTCCTCTGGCCTGCAATGTTTCTGTTGAAGAATCAGCTGATAGTTTTATGGGAGCTCCCTTGTAATTACCGTTCTTCTCTTGCTAATTTTTGTCTTTAACTTTTGGCATTTTAATTATGATGTACCTTGGTGTGGGCCTCTTTGGGTTCACCTTGTTTGGGACTCTCTGCAATTCCAGGACTTGTATGTCTATTTCCTTCACCAAATTAGGGGAGTTTTCAGTCATTATTTCTTAAATAGGTTTTCAATTCCTTTCTTTCTTCTCCTTCTAGTACCCCTATGATGCTAATGTTACACCTGGTGTTATCCCAGAGGTCCCTTAAACTACCATTATTATTATTATTATTATTATTATTACTATTTTCTTTTTCTGGCTTTCTGATAGTGTATTTTCCACTACTTTGTCTTTCACATTGCTAATTTGATCCTCTGCTTCATTTAATATGCTATTCATTCCCTCTAATGTATTCTTCATTCCAATTGTTCTTCATTTCTAAATAGTTTTTTTAAAAATATATTTTATTGATTTTTTACAGAGAGGAAGGGAGAGGGATAGAGAGTTAGAAACATCGATGAGAGAGAAACATCGATCAGCTGCCTCCTGCACGCTCCCTACTGGGGATGTGCCCTCAACCAAGGCACATGCCCTTGACCAGAATCGAACCTGGGACCCTTCAGTCCACAGGCCAACGCTCTATCCACTGAGCCAAACCGATTAGGGCTGAATAGTTTTGTTTTTGTTTTTTTTGTGTGTGTGTGCGTGTTTTTTAATGTTTTGTCTTTGTTGAAGTTCTCAGTGAGTTCCTCTCTTCTCCTAAGTTCATGCGTATCCTTAAAACCAGGGTTTTGAACTCTGTATCTGGTTGATTGCTTCTCTGCATTTCACTTACTTTTTTTCCTGGAGCTTTGTCATGTTATTTCATTTGGAACATGTTTATCTCATTTTGGCTGAATCCCTGTGTGTGTTGTTTCTATGTACTAGGCAAATCTATATCTCCCAGTCTTATCTTTGTGATCTTAGGTAGTAGGTGTCCTGTGGGGCCTGGTGGTACAGTCTCCCATGTCACCTGAGCCAGGTGCTCCGGAGGTGTCCTTTGTGTGGGGGTAAGTGGACTGGCCCTCAGGCTGACTGGCTGTGAGGACTTGCTGTGACTATAGCAGAAGAGCTCTCTGGTGCCAACCTAGTCTGCCCTCAAGTGTGTCATTTGTGGTTTGTTGGGTGGTGCTCTTATTGTATAGGCTACCCACTAGGTGTGTTGGTTCTGGAGCCTCTTTGGAGGGGCTCCAGAGCAAGTCAAGATCAGCCACAGCTTTTAACTAGTTTGGGGTTACCTGGCAGTAGATACAAAGTGACATGTAATTTATTGCTGCTTATGCTGGGCTTGAAGGCACTAAGGAGAGGCTATGCTGCAAACCAAGGCTGCTGCTACTAGTGCTAGGCTTGGGACCCTTTGGTAGGCACCACAATGTGAGCTGAGGCCGGCTGCGACTTGTGCCGGGCTTTGGACAATTATTTGAAGCTACGTTCCAAGTCAAGACTGGCTGCTGATTATGCCAGCCTTGTGGCCAACTGATGGGAGTTACAATGTAAGTTAAGACAGGTCACCACTTGTGCCAGGGTTGGGGCCACTTAGAGAGAGGTACAGGGGATGCTGAGGCCAGCCACTATTTGTTGGGGGTTTGTGGCCTTTGAGACATTTTGAGACAGTCCACAGTATGAAGCAAGGCAAGCAGCTTTTGTGGAGCTGCTATCAGCAGAGGTTTGGGCCAGGTGCACAAGTTAGGTGGGACGGGATCTCAGAGAATCCAAGTAAGAAAGCATTAGCCAGGTGAATGAGGAGCTCAGATTTGGCACCAGTTGATCCTTCAGAGTGAGTGGAAGGAGCATTCAACAAGGGAACAATGGCGTCTGCCAGCACTTCCATCCCAGAGAGCTGCCTTGACCACTGTCCCGCCAGCCCTTGTCTTGTAGCCCTTGTCAGTCCCCATATGTCCCTGGTACCTTCTGAGCTGTTGCTCCTGTGCTGGAGCCCAGAGGATGTGAGTTCATGTGCAAGTCCATGAATGGGCCCTCAAGAGAATCCCTAGGTCTCCAGCAGCCCTCTGTCTCCCAGACGCAATGACCACTGGTTTTCACATCCAAGTTATGAGGACTCCTCTTCCTGGCACTGGTGTTCCAGCCTGGAGTTGGGACCCCTCAGTCCTCAGGGGAGACCTCTGTAGCCAAGATATCCCTCCAGATTCTTAATTGCCACGCAATGGGTGTGAGACCCGCCCATTCTGCGTCTGCTCCCCTACCAATCTGGATGTGGCTTCTTTATATCCTTAGTTACAGGACTTCTGTAACTACCCACAGACTACCCTATTCAGCTAGTCTTCATGAGGTTCTCAGTGGTAGTTGTTCTATAATTTAGCTGTAATTTCGATGTGGTTGTGGGAAGAGGTGAGCACAATGTTTACCTACCCTGCCACCTAGACCGAAAGTCATGCTTTGATATTTTTCATAGTGTCATGCACTTCTGCTTTCACATTTCAAGTAGCATGCATTTTCCTTAGTGAAGGATTTGTTTACTTTGGCTGTTACAGCTCAACAGGTTGGTAATTAAAAACCGCTTTTTGTATTCCAGAAGGTGGTGCTATAACTCAAGGTTTTGGTTTCTCTTACCTAAGCAGGCTCTCCGGGCCGCCCTCCTCTGACAGGGCACAAAGAGAGCTGGCAGCAGCATGTTGGGAGGTGTAGACTTTATTTCTGAGGCTTTGGGGGTACCCATAGCCCAACAGAACGACCCATGAGTTGGGTAGTCCCAGAGGTCTGTGGGTAGACCTCCTGCTGAAGTCCCAAATTTCCTTCCACCCCCTCAACCCCCTCTCAGAGAGCCCTCCTCAGTAATTCAGGTATTGCTAGAGAGAAACAGGTTCCTCCAGCTGCAACCCATGCAGCCAAGCAGCCTGTCACTCGCTACCTCCTATGGCAGAGAGGTGGATGCTGTGCTTTGCAATGTCTCCTGGGGGACGGGGGCACCTCAGTGAGCTCCCCCACCTCCAAGCTAATTTCCATCTCCCTCCTATGGCATGCCAGACTCTCCTGCCAGGTTGGTGGATCTCTACAAAATTTCTATCGCCCAAGAGTGTCTGCCCAGTTTGGCATTCTCCCTTTTCCAATCATGGCACATGGGTGTTGGGTAGGCTCACTAAATCCTTTGTATCCACAGCAAATCTCCCTCCTCTGAGGTCTGATCCACCCACATGCAGGTGCATGGGTGGGTCAAAGTTGCCAGGAGTCCTGGTGTAATGTGCAGAGGCACTTCTGTTCTGTAATGGATGTCCAGTTACTTATAAACCAAAAAGAAATGACTCATGCTGCCATGAGGCTGACACTCTAGAGAAGCCAATGTTCTGCTGCTTGATCTGGTGCAACCGATATATAAAATTGATAAAAATGCATCAAGCTGTACACTTCTATATATATATAGTCTTACATATGTAATACTTCAATGAAAGTTAAATGCGACTTCATCCTACTTTTGGGTATACAGCCAAAAGAATTGACAGCAAGAACTCAAAGAAATATTTATACACCCAATGTTCATGGCAGCATTTTCAGAATAGCTAAAAAAGTGGAAGAAACCCAACTGCCCATCAACAGATGAATGGATAAACAAAATGTTGTATATACATACAAATGGGATATTATCAGCCATAAAAAGAAGTAAATTTTAATATATGCTACAATAAGAATGAACCTTGAAGACATTATGCTAAATGAAAAAGCCAGTCTCCCATGAAAGGAAAAATACTGTGATTGCACTCATATGAAGTATTTAGAGTAAACTCATAGAGACAGAAAATAGGTTGAGAGTTGCCAGAGACTAAGGAACAGGGACCTATTGTTTAATCAGTACAGTTTTAGTTTTGCAAGAAGAAGAGTTCTGGGGATGGATAGTGAGACGGCAGCACAACCCTTAAGCTGTGCATTTAAATGATTAAGATGATCAATTTTATATCTGTGTTTTACCACAATTTTTTAAATACAAGAGAGGCCCGGTGCATGACATTCATGCATTCTTGCAGACCAGGACCTCTAGCTCCTTACCGCCTGTCTGCCTGCCACGGCAGGAGAGGTTCCTGCCAGCCGTGAGCCCAGCTTCTGGCTGAGCGGCGCTCCCCCTGTGGGAGCACACTGACTACCAAGGGGCAGCTCCTGCATTGAGCGTCTGCCCCCTGGTGGTCAGTGCAAGTCATAGTGACTGGTTGTTCCACCTTTGGGTCAATTTGCATATTAGGGTTTTATTATATAGGATAATAATACAGGTAAATGTATTGGTAACTTACCTCTGGTGAACTTTTCAGAATCTTCACACTTCTTCCCCTTTGGGGATACTCTAAACCCAATCTTTTCAATCTTGTTGAACAGAGTTAAGTGAAAAAAGCCAACAATGGACTCCCCTCAAACATATGATGAGATGGGTAAGACTGCTTTCCACTTGCATATGGCCACATACTAAACAAAATGCTTTCACATACTCCCTCCCATATCTACTCACAACCATCTTGTTAGGAAGGCGGGTCAGTTATTTTTTGAGCAATAAAAAAAGTCACAGCCAAAAAAAGAAACAAACAATGTTCAAATTATCTTGATACCAAATTCAAGCTGGAAACATCCTCATAGAAGAATCCCTCAAGTTCATTACTGGACTTGAAAAGCAAATTCGATTTATGATGTTTTTCTATTGTTCCCATAAGAAAATGCTCTACATTATCTAGATCTTTTTTATACACTCAATATAATTCACTTCTTGACTTGAAAACATTTTATTTAATTTATACAAATAACTACTAAATACAAAAAGTAGATTAAAACAAAATAGTTATTTTTTTTTCTGGCAGAGTTTAAATGCACATAATGGATAATTCCGAAGAAAATGCATTTTCCCCACAGCGTTCAGGACTAAAATTCTACTGAAATCTTTGCTTCTAAATCAGTAATATATTCAGTGGTGTCACATGGGTAATGGCTAAATACGTTCTGCATATGAACTGAAAAAAAGTTACAGTCTACACACATACAAATGTGAAGCACTTAAAATGTGAATTTAACTGAGGATAAAAGAAAATGTCCATTTCAGAGTATAGTGTTAAAAACATTTCGGTAATAAAATCATAAGACCACATAAAAATAAGCTTTAACGTATGCACAGAACAGTTTTGTAAAAACTGCTCTGTGCACAAGTAATAAATAATTTGCAAAGTTGTGTATAAACAATTCCTAATGTTCAGCATCATTGTAAACATCAGCACATGTGTAAAATGCAGCAAAGTCTGACATTACATTTTGTTTTGCCAAATTGAATTCCTATTATCCAAAGACAGACCAATGGAGTATGCAGCCAATGTTTTGGCAAGTTGGATCTTTAAAATTAAGAGTAACAGTGCAAGTAAGGAATGCAAAGAATTCCTAGTGCAATACAGAAGAGAAGCACAGGCAATATTGCTGATTAAAAATTCACCACCTCCTTGAATTTCCCGTGGGGAGTGTCTAGGAGACTTGTGAAAGATAGGCAAAGCCACTGTCTTAATGCCCAGATCTCTCTTAGGATTTCTCTGTGTTCCTCCAGTTCCCTACCTTTGCAACAGTGTCCGTCCAACATCAGTCTCTGCGGTGTGAACAGTTGTGAAATGCCCAGTTCACAGTCATTGAGCGAGGTTAGGGTGGTTTTGGTGTCTCCCCAACACGTGGCTGGGTGAGATGTCTGCCTTGTCGAAGCAGCCACCTGGGGAGGGAGACAGACGGATTCGGTCTGACAACCAGTCAGGCCAGCATTAGGTCCCAGCTGGACAATGACGACAACGTCAAATCTTCCTTCTTGACACCATGAAAACGTCAACAGTCAGTTTTCAATTTGTCTAGGGAATTATCAATTTTGGTCAAAGTCTTTTTGATACGCAGAGCTGTGAGTCTTGCGGACGGATTTTGATACCAGCATTCTTTCATCAGCTTGGCCAGAGAAGTTAATGTCTGCGGAGAGAAGGAGCAAACAACACAATGAAAAAGTGGTCTTGCGGGGTCCGAGAAGCTGGGCAGATGTATTAGTTATGCTGCAGAGCTCTAGGTCTTGTGAAGTGAAAGTGGTGTCACTGCCATCTTTTTAAAACCAATAATCGAGGCCTTGACCACTAATAAAAAAGCCACTCTTGAGTTTCATGGCATCTGTCCTTTGGACGGCCTAGAATACCCAATGACTTTATCAAGTCAGTTACACAGGTCAGGCTAAATCCCTTGATGGTTTTATGGGTGCTACAAATGGCAATACTAACCCAGAGTTAAAACTGAAATGCGCAGAAAGGGTGACTTCTCAATGTCTTAGATTTGCTACTACAGAGCGGACATAAGGACTTCCAGCATTGAATAACTTATGTTTGCAATTTCAGATATGCAGAGATGGAAAAAACAAAAGTTAAAAGCATCACTCAGTGTCTTGGTTTACACATGAAACTACAGTCCTAGGGCCAGTGGTATAGTAATGAGACTCCCAATTTCTGAAGCTCATCAGTAATATAAATTTTTGTGAATACTGTCAGTCGTTAGCAAGATCTATCAGCTATGGCTCTTTAAAGAAAGAGACAATTTTCTGTACCTACTTAACTAGATCTAAGGCCTTCTGCATAAAATCGGGAGAGAAAGCAATAGGTAGTTGAGGCAGATCACTTAAGAACCATACCAGATGAAACACAAGAGCAAGCAAACAGCTGAGGACAGCTGTAAAACGAAGAAAAGTGGTTCTTACCGGGTCTGAGAACCATCTGTTGGGTATGTTTGGCCTCTGTTGATCCACACAGACCACCTTCCTCATATCTTCAAAACTTGGGTCATTGGGAACCACATCATAGAATGGTGGCTTGTAATCTTCCACAATACCTGCACACATGGACAAGAATTATTGGCTTAGCAAGAGAGTAGAGGTTCCCTCAGGGTTTTTATTGATGGTATCACATTATAATGTGACAGGAAAAGTACTGCTCACCCTCCTCATCACCCTTCTCGCACTTCAAGGAGATTCTGAAACCTACAGGTAGGTCTTAAAATAAGTGGAGAACAAGGCAATAAATAGATGCCCTGCAGAGAAACTGGAGGAAAAATAATTGTTACAAGAAATTGTGACTACTTCTCATGTAATTACAATTAACAGAATGCTCCGAGAGTGTATATAAACAGCTCTGTAAGATCTAAGACAAAAATTCCTTTGGTGATCAAAAAAAGACACAACATTTTTTGACATGAATCTAGTAGTTTCAGACCATAATAGAAATAAAAAGTTACCCACAAACTAGAGCTACAGGCAAATAATCCAAGAACATTGTCAAAACACATCTTTTCATTATGATTAGGAAAAAAGTCCTTGCTATAAAATAATTCCTCCTATTGAGAGGATGCAGATAATTAATACAAATTATAAATTTCCTTATTCATTCATTGTACGTGGACTGAGTACATGCTAATTGCCAGATATAGCTCACTGATGGCTCAATTATTTACTCTCAGATTGGAGCACAAAATGTAGAGAAGGGTAGTCATTTGAGAAAAACAAGAATGACTGAGAAGGATAAACTCTTCCCTTTTTCCCAAGCAAATATGAAAGAGGTTAATTTCAGCAAAATTACACCAACTGCTTATTTTTCAGAAGAAAGAGTAATTCCACAAATAGAAAATTTTTTTACTTTATCATGTGGGGATGGGGGATCCAAGACAGTAGCATAGGAAGACCCCAAATTCACCTCATCCGAGGGACACACCAAACATACACCTACATATAGAGCAATTCCTCCTGAAGAACAACCGAGGGCTGATTAAACAGCTCTACACAACAAACGAGAGAGGAACCACAAAAGGAAGAGTAGGAGAGATGGAGACGTGGTCCCCGTGGGAACCCTACCAGAGAGGGTGCTCTGCAGTAGGAAGAGATATCACTGAGGGGCCAACATGGGAGATTCACCTGGTCTGGGCATAGCAATAAAGCAGCGATTAAAAAGGTACCTTACCATTTGCAACAACATGGATGGACCTACAGGGTATTATGCTAAATAAATAAGCAGACAGAGAAAGACAAATACCATATGATTTCAATTATATGTGGACTCCAGAAGAAAAAACTGAAAGACTCAAAGATACAGAGAACAAACTGATGGTTGCCAGAGAAAAGGTGGGTGGGTGGATGGGTGAAGGGGAATAAGAGGTACAAACTTCCAGTTATAAAATAAATGAGTCACATGGTTATAGCAATGTGCAGCACAGGGAATACAGTCAGTAACATCATCACTTTGTACGGTGACAGATGGTTACTAGGCAGATCGTGGTGGACACGTTGTAAGGTATATAAATGTATCACTAAGTTGTACACCTGATACTAATACAACATTGTATGTCAACTATTTGTTTAATTTTAAAAACTTCATTTGGAATTAGGAAATTGGTTCTTCCCCTTATACAAATAAAAGGAAAAAAATCCTTCTATCATCAAAGGTTTCAACCATGAGGACAGTGGATTGCTTGATTTTCTGCCCTTTTCCCTTCCTCTAAGTAGCTTTCTTCTATTCCTCCATACTGAACAGGTTGTTGGGGGAGACAGGAGGAGGCTGTGAAGAAAGTTATGATTAAGTTTTGCTAGTTCCTACAAGCCACCTGAATAGCTTCAATTCCCTTTTCATTTATCAAAGAAATTAAACTACTTAAGAAAGAGTATCCATTCTTATAAATCCCATATGAATACAAATTGTTTACACAAAAGATTAGCTATGATAAAGAGCCTCTGTTAAAGAAATACTAGATTTTTTCCTTAAACTTCACAAATCCAACAGTTTATTTTTAAAAAAAAAAAATAGAATGTATTCTAGTTATGTAAAAATAAATTTCTAGTTGATACTATTTTCTAATTAACTTTTCCACACTACAAAACCGCACTGTAATATTTCAGTCCACGGATTAAAAACCTTTCCTGGTAAATCATAAAGAGCTCATATTAGGCTTAACCCCTGCTCAGAGAAGACGCCTGGAGCCAGCTCACCTCCAAGGCCCTACCTACTTCTCTTGTAAGGATCCCTAGAAGCATTCAAACAAAAATGGTTTAATTCTTTTCATTACTAACAGACACCCCTTAAAATAACCCTGGAGATGGGCCTGCAAGATAATTTATAACTGTTCAAGGACCACATTAATTAATAGGAAACATAAGAGATATACCCTTCCCCATCTCTCAATTTTTCTGAAAGAGAATATATTTAATAACCTGGTTTAATTCTTTTTAAAAATCTAGCATAATAGCTAGCTATTTGTGGTAATTTGCCTGGCTAGTTTGGAAAGGGTTATGTGATTGTGAACAATAACACCAGTTGGATTTTCCTACTATTTAAATGCAAAAGAAAAAAGCATGGCAGGATATTTAAAAGTGATACCCAACAATGAATTCCACCTTATAAAGCTGAGGTTTCCCCTTATGTTTATATTTACCATATTTTAACTTTATTAAATGCCCCCATGTTTTAACAAAAGGAATCAAGTTTAAAAACAAAGACCATCTAATTGATTATGCCTGGGACTTAGTCGTGCCTCTTTCTTCAAATATCGGTCAACTGTTGATTGTTTCCATCTGACACTGGCCATGCTTCTCCAGAATAAAATACACCTGGGATTAAACTCTGGCCACCATGTGAAATTCCCTCTGGTGAAGGAAAGCAATTATTTCAAGCAATACAAAGTACATTCTGTACCTACTAAGTGTGGAACACCACGTTAAATAGTGAGGGTGATAAAAGTGTAAGACATGCTCTTGGTTTTCAGGGAACTCAATGTCTAGTGAGGAGGAGGAGGAGGACTAGCCCTGTTCTTTGTGGTGTTGTTTTTTAAAGTCTGAATTTTTTTCCCCTTCACTAATTACTTTATATCTTAAGAGGCAAAGATAGATTAGAAACCATCACTATATTTTTACCTGTTGGTTCCTAACTTTACTCATACCATTCTGATCCATTAAACTGTGTGTATCAGAGGTTTTGTTTGGCCCTAGGGATACAAAAATGAAAAAGATGCAATGTGGGTGATGAGGAGCAGGAAGAGAGAAAAGGGAGATGAGAAAGTAAATAAAGCAAACTAGCGTTAGAGGTAGGGGCAGGGAGAGGGGGCAGGGACATGGTATTCAGAGAAGAAAACACCTGTGTGGTTTATTAAGAACCTGATAATTGGATGTTACTGAAGTATAAGTAACCTTTCCAGAAGGCTTGGGAAGGCTAGGGCTTGGGAAGACATAATAATGAGTTTTCAAGGCAGAGAAAAGGATGAGGAAGAGAAAAAACCAAGGAAAGGGGGCATTCCAGGTGTGGGGGTCAGGAGGAGTGGGGCAAAGATAAGGAGTTACAAAGGACACTCATCCACATAGCTGGAGAGATGGAAGGAAGTCTCTGTGGCTGAAATCGGGGGCACATGGGTAGTGAAGAGAACAGGCCAAGCTCCACCGGTGTGATTCAGTGGTTGAGCATCCACCCACGAACCAGGAGGTCACGGGTCAAATCCTGGTCAGGGAACATGCCAGGTTGCTGGCTGGATCCCTAGCGTGCAGGAGGCAGCTGATCAATGATTCTCATCACTGATGTTTCTATCGCTCTCTACCTCTCCCTTCCTCTCTCTGAAATCAATAAAAACATTTTTTTTAAAATCATTCTTATAAAATAAGAGAGTGAGAGAGAACAGGTCAAGGCCAGACTGTGAAATGATTTGTGTTGTTAAGATAGGAAGTCGGGTACAACTGTTCCTCGCTTCTGCCAGAAAGTGACAAACAATCTGGTAGCCAGGCAAAGAAAAGAGTGAACTTGATGTCCTTTAAAGACAACACCCAATGAACAATCTGCCAAACCGTGAGCCAGCATGAATTCTGGAAAAGTGACTAAAAATACAAAGCACTTCAAGTGCCAAATGTGTGGTACAAACAACAAAAGGCACAAAAATGCAGGGAAGAGGAGCTCTTGCATGGGGGTCAAGGAAGGGGGAGCTGAGCCAAGCCTTGCTTTCCCATGTCAAGTTGTTGGTGTGACTCAAAGGGCCACATGAAAGAAATCAGAGGCATTATTCATTACCAACTCCCCCACAACCTTTGGCTTGTGTATCTCAATTATACAATCATTTGTTCCTGGGCGTATGTCTAGTGGAAAGTTTTCTCTTTTCTGGGACAAATATATCTTTACCAACCAATATCCCTACCATTAATTTGCTGCTTGGCTCTGGCTAAACCCCTTACTGCCATGACTCAGTTCCAACACTTCTAAAGTACAAATCTCGAAGCTGATGTTCAGATAAACAAGGAAGTCCACAGTACTTCAAAAAGCATGACATGCCACTGAGAGGTCTTCCCAAAATGCTCATCTCCAGAAACAAGGCTTTCCTGGTGACGCTCCCCAAGGCCTGAGACCCTCCCCAGGGCCCCCATCTCCTACCCCCTTGAAAGCTGCATCTGGGACCTACAGGTCTCTCTGCTTCAGGTCCTCACCTCCACCATATGCCTCTGCCCCCAGCAATATATCTTTAGGAGAAAACTAAGGGAAAAGCTCATTGGGTCCCTCCTCTACGTGTAAGCCATCAGCGTTGCCCATGGGATGGTTGGTGCTCATTGCCCAGTAACAACCATTCCACACCACTGCCTTCCTTCATGTACCTGGGCATCAGCCTCAGGAATTACTTACAGTTGCATCAATAGGACACCTTTACGACTCCCCACAGCTCTTCCTTTTGCCTGGGATACCAATCGTCATCATTGTCTGATGTTATTTCTCATTTCCACCTACACATGCTCCCAAGCTGGTCCACCTGAGTAGGTCCTACTATCTCATTTATGACTCAGTTCATGCTTCTGTCTTCAGAGACCCTCCCACCTTGCT